TGGCTTGTTAAATCCGGGATCAGGAAGCCAATATTTATCCCACTTTGCCAATATTAATCGTTTGACCTGGTATTGCCTTCATTTATTTTGGAAGGATTATCGTAAAATTGTTTTTATCATTTTTTTGTGTTTTTAAGCTGTAAATTTACTTTATGCCTTAAAACCCACTGTCTATAACAGCTCTTAATTTCCAAAGCCTCCATTGCCTGATTTGGATCTAAAATGTAAGGTATGGTGAGGTTGGTTGCAAGTAATGCACAGCTCGCACTTGTGCGTCTTTTAAAATTTTGATGACTCAGTGCCTTTAACTTTATAATATGTATGGACTCATTAATATTAGTGATTTAACTTTTGGCATATCCATAAGCCTATTCATATGCGGCATATGTGGCTTCATATTTTCTCCCGGCGCCTAGCAATAAAAGAGTAACCACATTCCCAGTTTCTCCTTTTAATGCTGACTTGAGATAGTTAAATTTTAGAGATGGACTTAAATCCTCTCTTGTGTGTGCTTTTTTATCAGCTCATAAAACCGATCCCCATTCCTTGGAATCACCAAAAATGTGGAAATCTGAATTTAAGGCAGGGTTGGTAATTCCTCCTCCTTTACCACCATCGACACATCTGAATGCTTATTTACTCCGCTGAGTCGATTTTTTATTGCGACTAATATATTTTGCGTGTCAAACTCGATATCGCAGTTCTATTAGGTTCAGTACTTTCCTCCACAAAAACTCAATTTTGTTGTTCCTTATATTAAGGGAATCTGGACTATTGTCTATGAGAGACGACGTCTCATCTCTTTCCGTGTTTTTTTATCTGCCAAATTTTTGCTGTGGGAATAACCAGTTCAAATCTTATTTTATAATTTATATATATATATATATATTTATTTTTCACTATTTTTTTTGTCCAGTCTGACTTTTAGAATTCTTTTGAATTGATTCACTGGATTAACAGGCTCCTCGCCTTGTTATTTTGACTTTTTTTACTTGGCACTCCGTAACCGGCTCGTTAAATATTCATATATTTGTATTTATTTACGCACACTTTTTGCTATTGGTAGCCTTGTAAGCTACCTTTAGTTTTTTATAACTATAAGTTGCTTAATTATTAGAACATAAAGATTCCTTGTGTGTTTTTTGCTTTTTATTTTATTCTCTGTTTCTTACCTTGTCGGGGAATACAAGAGATTATATTTTTGCTACTTTAAGCTACCTTAAGTCTAGCACTTACATACAGACTTTTAGGTGCTGATTTATCACTCAGAGGTTCAGAGTGATAGGGGGGAAAGTTCCAGGCAGTCGTCAAAGGTCCAAAATGTTAAGGAGGCTGTTGAGTTGATTTTTTCAATCTAACTTGATTTCTTACAATCGTAGCTTAGGTAGCTACGGGTCTCTAGACCTACGGATCTGTACCTCCCGACCGCGGAAACCCATCGCACTTATCTTTAACATGTGGTGACCACTCGCAGGAGGTCATATTACCCACCAGTGCAGGGAATTCTATAGGCCAGACCCAACAATTTGGCGAAGTTACAATATCATTGCCTTAACATAGATAGGCTCTTATCTCTCTGATATAAATAAATGTGTGTTCTATCTGAACACAAAGCAAACTTTAAAAAATAAATTTCTTATGGAACCACCATTTGATTTCATTTTTTTAAGCACTTTAATGTTTATTGAGAAGAGTGTGAAAACAGTTTTGCACAAGCACGAAGATATCTTAAGACAATAACCATTAGAAAACAAATTATCAATAAGGGCATGGAAAGAAACGTTTTCTACATTAATTGTTTGAGAACTGCCATATGATTAATGAGAAAACATGCAGTGTTAAGAGGAAACAGTTTGCCATATTGTAATTCATGTTCATGTGCTCTAAATATTGCATAAAACATTCAATTTATTTAAAGAAGCAAGTTGAAATATACCGAAACATATCTATTCCTACCACGGAAAAAAAAAATTTCGCCTGACCAGGCCAAGTAGACAGGGATATGACCAGTCCTACCGGGTGGTCAAACAGCAGCACCGAGTAGAACAAGATAAAGGAAAAAACTAGGACAACAATTCATCATCATCGCATTCATCAAGAATGAACTGATAGCCGCGGCATCTGCATTTTTAGGAAAACAGCTAAATACCTCCAAATTAAAAACTTTGCGACCATGGCACACGGGTACCCAGATTGCCATTATTGGACTGACACCTAAGCAGCAAAAAAACTCCTAGCAGAAGGAAAAATAAAGGTAGGCTGGTCGAGCTGCCGTGTATAGAGAAGGTGGCAGAAAGTCGCTTTTGCAGAGTCCTGGCGTATAGGCACATAGCGGCAAGGAGTAGGAATAAAGTAGAATGCTGCCTTAAATGTAAAAAGCTAGTGCCTATGCTTCTTATGTGCCAAACTAAAGAGGATAGAGATCCACACATAGCTGGCAGCAGGAGATATCCAATGGGTCCACTACTGTGGAATGAAGTATTTGGCTTTGCAGATGACAATTTCTTACACAGTAAGAAGCTGAGAACCTGGGAAACACTTTAGAGGCCATTATAGAGTATGCTGCCCTTGCTATCTCTGGAATGCTTACAGCAACGGGATAGCGAATGGTCGCTAATCGCTTACACTCTTCTTGTTTCGTTTTCTATTTTTATTGTTTCTATGTTTTCCAATTCGAAATTTTACACACATACATAAACAAATAAACTAATGATTTAAAAAAAATGCATACAAACTACATCAGTATCGATTCTACATGTAGTGATAAGTATCTGACCCATACAGATCATTGCCCTTCACTTATCCACACACAAAGGGTAATTTATATAGATGCTTTAAGCATCGAGATCTCTGTTAATGATTCCGATATCTCTCTGGTTGTTATCGTTTCAAACATACCATGGTGCCCCTGTGCTCCTACTTGCATTTCTCCACAGCCGAGAGCCGTATGTGCATATTGGCTTAGGGATGGTGCTGTAGAGCAGGACCTTGTAGTCTAAGCGCAGGAGATATCTGGAATTTATGATCCTTTGCCATGTTTGCTAACTTTCGGGATTTGGGGGTTGTTTAGGGTTATCGGAGGGCATGACTGTCTGTTCAGAGTGAACGTTATGTGTTTCCTTTTTTGTTCGTTGATTTTAACACGCCAGTCAGACAGCCACCTCTCGACTAACATAAGGTGATTCGCTAATAGCTCTGTCGAGTGAGACAGGCATTTCGAGCGACTCAAGATAGCGGGGTCGTCAACAAAAGTTGATGTAGTTAGGCAGTCGTTTGTGGGGATGTCAGCTACCCAGAGTACTACCTTAAGGCACTCCTCAAAATAACCTTGTTTGTGCAATACTCGTACTTTCGCGAAAACCAAATTGATGTGCCTGGATACTGTTTTGGGCTCTGAGGTAAGGTGTTATTGCGACATCTTAAAGGGTTTTGAGAGACATGAGTGTAAACTTATTGATGATGGATTAGCTCTATCTTTTCTAGGTTTTGATCTTTTTCATTATTCTGGGTAGTATTTAAGCCTCTATAGCACAGCTCGACAGTTTTAATTGACAGTTCATAATTGGGGTTGACAGTTCATAATTGGGGTTATTTGGTCTGCACCTGGTGCCTTTCCGGGTTTTAGTTAGTCCTTAATGATTTTAGCTATCTCAGTGGGCCGAAAGATTATTGGGTTCGTCGCTGGTGCAGATTTTGTTTGCGGTAGAGCAAACTAATTAGTTGCAGGGTTGGGCTGGAAAACGAATCGTAGATGCTGAGCATATGTTGCTGTTAGATTTGTGTGGGTTTGCCACAGAAGAAATCTGGAGCTGGCCGGTGATAGCTTTTCATTGTACTCGTGCTGTGCATTCTCAGCATCTTTTCCAGAACGAGCTGTTCTGTTTTCCGATTGCTTGGGTTCGGATTTGGCGGTAAATATTTTCTCTTTGACGCTCTTTGCGACAAGAACTTTTTTTTGAGCGACGGTAGGAGTGTCCAAGTGAAGGTGCGTACTCATATATTTCCTGTATTTTAGCCAGTTGTTGTGTGCGACGTCAGCCTATGGGGGTTGTTCGTGATTTCGGCTGCGGAGAAGCGTTACTAGTACAGGAGTGTTGTCAGATGAGAGGTCCGGGACCGATCTAGCGGGAATTAGATTTCGTGAAATGTTTTCGGTCACCACAAAGTCGATTAAATCAGGCAGATTTCTGGGGTCTGCGGGCCAGTAGGTTGGGCTATCCAGAGATATGCAGTCTAGTTTGTTTACCGCATTTATCATTGCAAGGTATAACTGTCTACCTTTTGTGGTCAGGAGTAAATAAAATGGTTTTTGTTTGTTAGGTGAGCTTCCGATAAGAGCATCAAGTCAATATCGTGAGTATTTAAGAACTAAAAGAGCTAATACATGTGCTGGGAAACACCGTGGGCGTTCCAAAAACATATTTTTAGTGAACACATTTACACTGATTTTTGTTTTATTAGTATATCCAAGAGAAGTTTTTGGTTTCGTGCAGCTCTTGGAGAGTACTTTGCATCAACAGCATAATGTTTGTGAGCGTAGCTAGAGTCGCTTCGAGCCCGTTCAGTGTTTGTGAGTCCAATATCTGTTCTTGGTGGACGGGAGTATTCTTTGTTATTTCAGCTTTTTGAATTGGCAGTGTCGATGTGGGAAGTCGCCTCCTCCAGTGCTAGCTCACCACTGGGTCTACACTATGGAGGGAGTTTCAAAGGTTTCCGCCTTGCTACTCTCCAGTCTGGCAGGAACAGTTTTCGCTCCCGAGGTGGGAAACACATACCATGCAATTATTCTATAGATCGACTTCTCCAGCGATGTTCTACTGATAAGGAACAAGAAGATAGATATTGCACTTATTGCACCAAGCGGTGAATTCTTCGCAAATCTAGGCGGGAAGGCGGCAATGGTGCTGTTAAGACTGGAACCTGTTCTTTAGAGAAAGATTAAAATCCATTGAATCGATCAAATAATTTAACGTTTCGCGAATTTAAATTTTGATCCCCTCTTACAACGACCCCATGCTAGTTCGAGTACAAGGGGACATAACTTTACAGCTCCTAATCAAGAATATATACACATTAAATGCATATACAAGCATTTACTTTATGAAAAACGGAAAAAATAAACTTTCTAAAATGCTTAGCCTATGCTTACACATTGTTCAAGCTTTCAAGAAATGGGCATCCGATCTGTACAGCAACTGCAGAGTACCTAGTGTAGAGTTTCTGACTTATCTGAAAATTATTTGCTCCATATTGCTGAATGTTAAAGAGAAGTGCTTCACGCCCTCCGAGCACTGCTTTGTCCTCTCTGCTTTGAGCAATTAGTTGAATGCCGGATTCTACAGAGTCAATAAAGAATCCCTGCTGGGTATCGGGATTTTGCTGCCGCATTAGGGTATAAAGCTTCCTAAAGAGTTCCGTCCCATTCTCAAGCATCTCCAAAGAATTACTTTCTTTCTCCACATAAAGCCGGTATCCGTCTCGCATCATGACTGCTTGCAGCCGCTGAAGCGTATTGATGGGTGGTTCTAGCGCTGGTCGTGCAAACTGGCTTGTCAGTTGAGCGGAATATACATCGGCCAAAATATAGGTTGCTGCTATCCAGTAGATTACGGTCAAATACTTAGAACGGTTGTCTTTACATAGTTCATGGCATGCTGCAAAAATAAAAATGAACATAATATAATACATAATATAATTAAAGATCCCGCGTAACGATTCATAAAAAAAAATATAATTTTTATTAAATCGTATAGTTCTTGACCAAGATAAGTTCAAGCATGAACATAAAACGCCCACCAGATAAGGCAATCATAGCAATCTGCATGTGTACTTAGGGTCGTCCCGAAGAGACAGCCTTATCTCGCTGTTAGCACATAAGTATTTTAGGATCATCCCGAATAGATGGCCTTATCTCGCTGTTGTCTTGCAAACACAGCGCTAGTACATAAGTATTTTAAGATATCGCTGGAGCCTTACAAACTCAGCATTAGCTTAGGTTTAGAAATAAATAAGAGGAGAGCCGCTTCTCCCAAACGGCGTAGTACAACCAACATTGTCAGTGCGTTAGGATCTTAATTCGCTGAAAAGTGCTATAGTAAATGTGCTCCACGTAATGGTGTAAACATTTTGGTCCTTCGAGTAAAAAATCCTACAAGTTTACCAAGCGTTTCTGTGGCTTTATACAACAGTAAGCAAAAAGAGAACATTGAAAAAATTTGTGAAATTTGTTTACCAAGTGTAGCGTTTCTGTGGCTTTATACAACAGAAAGCAAAAAGAGAAAATTGAAAAAATTTGTGAAATTTGTTTTACATTTTTGTGAGTCGGGGCACAACACGATACTAAGATCGAACAAAAAACACCTCCACCGGGTTAAGCCAAATAAACTAAAATAATTTAAACTAACACGAACAAGATGCTATTCGAAAAAACAATGGAATTGCTGAAGGGGCAAGTCAGGAGATCTTGCAAGGGATAGCCAAAAAGGCAAACCCGTCAGCTATAGATGATTCGGCAGCAATATTCACTGCGAATCACACAATGCCTACCAAAATTGGCGTCATTAATCACGAATATTTTAATGACAAAATATATGACACCACCATGGCACTTATCAAGAAATATAAAGAGTCTCAGATGAAGGTCAAAGTGGCCGATCACGCCATGGCAAGTACATCGAAACCAGAAGCCTCAAAGGAAGATGCATCAAATAGAAGCCTAAGCCCAGTAGACAGCTTGGTGGAACTCGTGGACAAAAGAGCCGAGAAAGTGAGGCAGCACATAAAAGAAGTGTATGCCGAACTGGAGCGCAGCAACATGGAAGACATCCTTGATCACACGGACAAGATGAACTTCCTTTGGTCAAAGGACCACAATTTCACAATTAGAGGCAAAATATGAATCATATGCCTTTGACATCGACACGATCGATGAATAAGATGCACAGTCAACTTACTATCTTAAAAAATTGATAGAAAAATAAGCGACTTCATAAAAGAAGATATTCCGGAGCTACCAAGAGTGGATCTTCCTCAATTTAATGGAAACCCAAAAAAATGGCCCATATTCTTCGAATTATTCTCCGAGGTGATGAATAGCAGGAAAGACATCAGTGACACAAGCAATCTGAATTACCCAAAATCATGCCTAAAACGAGAAGCCAAAATGGTAGTCGTACATTTGCTAAATGAATCAGCTGCCAGCTATAACGCGGCATGGCATAATAATCCCCATATTGGGATTCCTTAATGCCTTTCATGTAAAATTATTCGGTCAACCCTCAATGACACAGATCAGTTTAAGACACCCGAAACACTAAAATCATTTGAAGACACTCAAATCATTTGAAGACACCCGACTCACTTTTCCCAAAAACATGGGTGTCTCAGACACTCCCTTCATTTGCTATGAGTGTGCCGGGTGTCTGTGCAAAAGAGTACTGGGTGCACAAGTGCACATTCGAAATAAGCTGTGCAAGACACACACCCTTATTTTAGGGTGCCGATCACACTCTGAGTGCCGAAAAGGCACAAATGATTCGAGTTCACTCATTGTCTGGTTGTACCCTTGCCGTTCTCTGGTGCTTAAGCCCTTGGTATACCAAGGAGGGTTATCCGGTCTGGGCGGGTACCTCATCGGAACACATACATATATCAAAAAGTAGGTTTAATGCATGGTAGAATATGTTTAAAGTTGAAGTCATATCATTACATGCGTACAGATGGAACCAGTCAAAATTAGAGATAAGAATATTAAGTTTATGAAAATCTGACATGCTAAAACATCGAACCTTTTTGACAGCCCAGCATCGATCGTCAGCTCCAGAGTGGGATGATGAAGATCTTCACGGCGTGTAAGTGGTGGAACCCTAGATATAAATACGGAGTCCGAATCTGAGATAAAGCATATATCGTGTAACCGACCCAAAGAGTTTTTAACATGGTTAATTTTTTCCAGGGTCACGTCCAACATACCTGCAATAAAATCATTATGTGAGGAAGGTGTTAAAGCTAAACTATTTTCATTTTTTGACCAGTTAATTTGTGGTATGTTAAAATCACCCAGAACCACTAACTGATCCAAATCTGATAACAACGTAAAAACGGACTGTATGGCCGCTAGGTGCAACTCATACGTGGATGGGTCGGTCTTGGGAGGGATGTAAAAACACGTAATAAATAAAAACCTTCCAGGAAGCGAAAGAAGATTAATCTCCTCGGATACGAGCTTAGAGTCGACAGAAATTAACACTCCACCCCCGGATCCGAGTGATCGATCAAGCCTGTATATTACATACCTACTCGGAAAAATTTCAGAGCTCAGAATTTCCGAAACCAGCCATGTTTCAATAAAAACAATTATTTGGGATGCAAAAGAAAAGCTTTCAGAAAACAAAGTAGGAAGCTTAGTTCCTTGTGTTCTGATAGAAAAGAATTAGGGACGATGTTAGTTTTTTGCGAGGGGTGCTCAGTGGCTTTTGTTTGGGGCAGTTTTACCGCCGCAGGTCGATTAATTTTTTTTTATGTCCCGGTCGATGTTCTTGGACGAAAATGTATTCCGGCCAGAACTTGGTTGAGCACATTTTGTCAAATTCCACCGAGGGGACGCGTATCTTAAAGGATGATACTTTTCTATTATAATTATATTTAAATCCACCTTTATGTCGGCTTTAGTTCTGGCTTGTATGTATGCCAATACGTCTGCCTCTGACGTATCCTCGGAAAGCCGGGAAACGAATATATGTTTCTCAGGTGGGATTACCTTTAGGGGCTTTGGTGTAGCAGGTTCTAATCCTGCACCGCCAGTGCACGCCGGTAGTCCGGGAACGAAATTCCCCTGCAGTGTATCGGGTGGGTTGATGTTAATGGAAATTGGCTCTGTAGGAGCCAGGAGCCTTGAAGCAGACAAACTATCAAACGATTTCCTACCATCATGTCCAGAAAATTCGGATGCCGAATTTTTCGTACTCACCGGAGTGATGGCCATAGGCGTTCCAAACAGCTGCGGCGACACTTCAGTATTCTGAAGGTAAGAAGTGGGAGGGAGAAGGGAACTAGTGATCTGCGGCACACAAGAGTTTGATTTTTTACGCTTTGGAGACTCATTTAACAATTGGACATTATTAAATTGGGTGTCCAGCGAAGTGAGCACCTCACGAAAGCCATTTTTTGTATGCGCATAAAAGATCTCATTTCCCTTTGAGTCCCCAGACAACTTTCACAGCAATAATGTAAGCCGGAAACGCCTCGGGCCAAAACGTCCGATACGGTGGCACGGAAATTGGCACATTTGGCATGAACCACATTATCACAAAGCCAACACAAAACGCTCGGCTTGTTAGTTGGAATTATTTTGTTACAAGATTTTAAATAGCAGATAATTTCTGACATAATAAGATATAATTATTATTTTGAAGCACTATTTCGAAAAAAGCCCACTGTGCGAGAACAGAAAATAAGAATAAAAACAAGATAAGTTTTAGATATGCTCACTATAAGAAGTGAGAGGGAGCGGAGGAATAGATTGAAATCAAGATAAGGTATAGATAAACACACGAGAGAGGCGCGAGCGGGAGAGGAGCCGTTTATCGCGAAAGACGAGATATAGGAGAATGTGAAAATAATTTAAGTAAATTGAGAGTTTAAACAAAAGAAACAAAAGCTAAACAGTTTAGTTCACTGCGCGGAAGGCAAACGGCTGAAGGTTTTATTAATACAAAATAAATTCGTATCGGTTTAAGCGTATATTCATAAATAATCAACAAAGTTAACGTGCGTAGAAAAACACGTCCGTTCGCTTTGGAAGAGAATTAAGAGTCTTCAATGACTAAGTCTTAAAAAACACAAAATAAAGACTAACATTGCATCGCAGGTACTAATAAAAAAACTTCACACAGATACAAAACAACGTGTAACTTCATCATGAATATCGCCCCTTCAGAAAGTGCCAATATTTTAGGATTTTACGAGTCGTCATCAAGACATCTACCTACAAACTTATTACCGTTAATTGCAGATGCGTATAAGAATACAGATCATAAGTCAATCGCACTGCGAGTAGCAGGTAAGTATTTGGCCTTTTTAAGGGGCCATTATTGGGATTTCCTTCGTTCCTTTCATGTAAAATTATTCGGTCAACCATCAATGACCTGCTCATGCAATACAGCTGAAGACACCCGAAACACTCAGATCAGTTGAAGACACCCGAATCACTCATCCCGAAACATGAGTGACACGCCCTTCATTTGCTATAAGTGTTTTGGGTGTCTGTGTAATAGAATCATAGGCATAGAATTGAGTGGGTGACAAAAAAGCAAATACACAAAACAGCCACAGCGATCTGTGCACTCGGGTGTGTTACTCGTTTCTAGCTGTTCGTGAGTGCGATATACACTCGAAAGGTATAAGTGTGATTCGGGTGCCGAAAAAAGACACCCTTGAGGATCTCTGGTATGCACAAAAAAATACGATTTGGAAAGATTTATGTTAAAAGTTTTTACATTGTGCGAAATATCTTTAATTTTGTAAGTTATATCCGATTGTTCCTATTGGAGCTATAGGATATAGACGTCCGATCGGCACGCGCTTTTACCCTGATCAAGGTATGCACAAAAAAAAACGATTTGGAAATATTCATGTCAATAGCTTTTACACTGTGCGAAATATCTTGAGTTTTTCAAGTTATATCCGATTCTTCCTATGAGAGTTATAGGATATAGACGTCCGATCGGGTCGATTTTCAAACTTGATCTGCGTTTCATGACTGTGAAAGTTTTAAGTCACTAGCTTTTAAACTGAGCTCGCAAACGGTATTGAAACAGACGGACAGACGGACAGACGGACATGGCTATATCAACTCCCTTATTGATCCTGATCAAGAATATATACGTTATGGG